GAGAGAGAGAGAGAGAGAGAGAGAGAGAGAGAGAGAGAGAGAGAGAGAGAGAGAGAGAGACTCCTCTGTTGGGGAGAAGAGAAAGAAGAGGGTATCGGGCATGAACGGCGAGGTAATCGATCGAAGAAGAAGAAAAGGAGAAGGAAATTGTGGGGAACAGCAGGGGGAGTCATCTCCATCGCGTGCGCCGAGCTCTATTCGGAGAGAGGGTCCCGGCGGCGGATCCGCACCGGAGTGGGAGGAGGGGCTGACGATCCAGGGGCAATTCGGGGCAAAGCTGATTCCAGCGCTTGGGGGTTCATCTACGCGGCGCAGTCTCGATCTCCTGCCGCGCATTCCTCCCCCTCTCCCAGGCGGGGGGGCCGGCAATATCACTAACGGTAACGGTAGCCCGGCTGCTACAGGTAGCAACTCGACCCCGCGCCGACCGCTTTCTGCGCCCATCCGCCGACCGTCGTCATTCTCGATGGAACTAGCAAACGGGGTGGAAACACAGAGAGGAGGGCTGCAGGCGGCGCCAGGCTCCCCAACGGCGCGTGGGGGGGGAGTGCGGGCGGGGCGAGGGCCACTTCAAGGCGACGAAACATCAGCAAGAGCTGCCGATGGTGGGGGGACAGCTCCCCCCCCTCATTCCGCCGGTGCTGCGGCGGCGGCTTCCCCCACATTCGGCGGTCGAAACTTCCCTGGTCAGATCAGGGAAACTTCATCGACAGCAAAACAGTACGGCAGAGGATCGTCCTCCTCCTCCTCATCTGCTTCCGCGGGTGCCAGCGAAGGGGCTGCGGAAGGCGGGGAGAGTTATGCGCAGACCGCGCCGGCCAGGGAGAGGGAGAGGGAGAGGGAGGCGGAGAGGGAGAGGGAGAGGGAGAGGGGCAACCAGCGGACATCTCAGAGCCAGAGCTTTACCACCGCTCACACTCAGAGTCTGACCACGGTAAGCGCTCCGCCATCCATAGCGCGGACATCAGGGGGGGATGATCGAACGGTCAGCACTTCATCGTTCTGGTCGAGAGGAATCTCGGTGGATGTCACAGGCGCCGCGTCGGAGATGTCGGATCGCACAGAGGCAGACGTGATGACGCGCGTATCGGGGATGGGTATGTCAGTTGGCCGTC